CCAATAATAAAACAATATTTGGGGATGAATTTATGAATAAATGGAGTGGTTGAATCTAGAAATCTTTGAATGTGTTTTGGATATTCAATATTATACTCTCTATAATGAAATAATGATTCAATTCACCTTAGAACAAACTTATGGTTGCTATTTATAATAGATAATCCTTGGGGTGAAATGAGATTAGAAAAAAACTGTTAAAATTGAATTAGGTTTATTCCTGGATCGAACCGTCGTTCGAGCGCTAGGTAGACGTCTAGCGAATGGCTAGTCTGCTGCTCAAGTGGTAATGTTGTGGCCAATGAATACGAGAGTTCCTACTTCGAGCGCCATTTTGACGTGCAGCAAACAATCGACTTTTACGATTCTTGATCTTCTTGAATGCCTTCGACTCCTCTTAGGATTCTGCCAAATCCAAGCTATTTTGACTTAAATTACAACTTCAATAGTCATAATTTTGGATTCGAATAAAGCCAATTACAATTTGGGCCTAACATATCTGATAATCACAAATACAAGTTACAACATATAATAATGCAAGTATGGAACACAATCTTGGATTTTATGTAGATGTAAATAGGGGTGGGCGTGGGTTGGGCTGAGTCGGTTTTTGTCCAAACCCAAACTCAACCCAAAATTGTCGGTTTGTTCGAAATCCAACCCAACCCAACCCATGTAAATGTTGAAATCCAACCCAACACAACCCAATTATGTGTCGGTCGGGTTGGGTTGGGTTGGTCGGTTTGAATCATAAATTTCAATTTTTTTTATGATAAAGAGTAGCTCAAAACCTTATAAATTAGTTTATGTTTTCGTCTTTATTCGATTTGAGATTTTATCCCTTAAAAAATGTGCGAGGCTGACTTTATTGGTTCAACCAACAAGTCCTAATTTTTGGCACTTACAGATAAGTGAACCTCCACACAGTAACATATGAGATGGTCTTCAGACAATAATTTGTGTCCCCAGTACCTAAGCCATATGATTTTTTTTATAACTCCAGATTTTTAATTTTTTTTTTTTGTTGGGGGAGGTCTCACGAGCATTTTCAATTGAAATTCAGATGCATCAAAACACAATATCTCACATATGAGCATAGCAACACGCAACACAGATTTAGATTAGAGTGAAACTTTATTTTACAGATATGGAAATAACGACACAGATTACTAAACCACAAAATGGAAAAAGCTTATTTCTTTTCATAAGTATAGAGATACGTGTAAGAATTAATATACTTCTCTTCATGCATTTATCCAACTATAATTAGTAGGATTGGGAATTTCAGTTAAAGGAATAATAAAAAAAAGAATGAGAGCTTTAACTTCAGTCCTTTAATTTACACACAGAAATATGTCAAAAACACTTGAGCACATTAATCAGCCAAAAGAGCAATATAAATCAACATAAACATAAACTCATTTTATGATACAACGTGACTTTTTGACTTTATTGAAT